CCATGTGAAAAAAGTAAGTAGAGCTACTCCAGGAAGGTCAGACACCATCTTAAAAAGTGGTAAGATGGGCTGGGGATGTGGCTCAAGCGGTGGCGCGCTCGCCTGGCATGCGTGCGGCCCGGGTTCGATCCTCAGCACCACGTACAAACAAAGGTGTTGTGTCAGCCGAGAACTAAAAAATAAATATTAAAAAATTCTCTCTCTCTCTCTCTCCCCCACTCTCTCTCTAAAAAAAAAAAAAAAAAAAAAAAAAAAAGTGGTAAGATGACAATGAAGCACCTCATGATTAGAGCCAGAACTTTTCTTTTCTTTTTTTTTTTTTAAATAATACATTTTTTAGTTGTAGTTGGACACTATATCTTTATTTTGTTTTTATGTGGTGCTGAGGATTGAACTCAGAGCCTTGCACATGCTAGGTGAGTGCTCTACCGCTGAGCCACATCCCTAGCCCTGAGCCAGAACTTTTCAACAATGTAAAATTAAAATAGAAACCAAACATAGTCAAGAATAACTTGCTCTTTCACCAAACTTGCTCTTTGGTTCACACTCCCTAAATCTGCCAGTCTTTACTCCACACATCAGAATGCTGACCTCCTTCCTGTTCTTAGACTTACAACACAAAAGCAGCTGAAGATGAGCGATTCATTTCAGCAAATCTGACAGACTTAAGAAACAGTAGAATGAATCGGACTTCACTTTCCTATGTTCATACATGAATGTATGACCAGGGTAACACCACATCTTTACCACCACAAGAATGGGAAGTTAAATTCCCATTCTTGTGGTGGTAAAATACATTTTACTGTCATGCACATCTAAAGAACAATTTAAAATTTTAAAAATAAATGAAAAATAAAGTTTCCAGGGGGAAATAGAATCTGACAGATTTGGCACTGCAGTTATAAAATTGATAACAACCCAAATCTTTGGGCCAGGTTCCACTGGTCATAATCCAATGTCTTCTGCCCCGGGATGTCTGAGTGACGTACAGCAAACTGCTGTTTTGTGTACATAAACTACACACTCCTTTGTTCTTAGACCTCCCAAGGTTATGACTCCGGGCCAGTGGCCTTGGGGTGGTGGATATAGGAAAGAGGACATCCGAAGAGGGCCCTGTCCTCATTGCTCCAACCCTGACAGATCCTGGGCAGTTGTGAAGATGACAAGCCCATTAAAAAGCCTAAGTGCTGGACAGGAAGCACTCAGAGCCAAGAGTGGTGCCCTACTCGAGCCTGTGACCTACTGGGGCACCAAACCACAGAAGTCAGCAGTGCACCTACAGGGACACGGAGGGGTCAGGATGCCAGCGCCAGTCCATTCACACACCCCAGATCTGATATGCAAACGGCCTGAACCAGGCCCTGCAGGATGTGGCACGGGGACAGCAGACAGCACAGTCCTGGTCACCACAGTCCTCAGGACCTGGGCCAGAGGGGAGAGAGAGAGGGTAGGAACAGGGAGACCACGCAGAGGGAAAGGCACACTCTGGGAGGACCCTGTCCACACCGCCGGCAGCACCCGCTCCGTCCACACCGCCGGCGAGCAGCCTACCCGGCTCTCCGTAGGGCGCCGCCTCGGCCCAGGCGTGCGGCTCCTCCTGGATGTCCAGCACCCTGTCGATGGACTTCTGGGCCTGGGACAGGGCCTGCTTGGCGAAGCTGGACAGCTGCGCGGCGTTGAACCAGCTCATCGCCCCTCTGGCCGGCGGGGCGTTGGTGCGGAGCGGGGCGGAGGCCGCGGCCGCCTCAGGCCGCCAGGTCGAGTGGGCAGCCTCGCCCTCTGCGCTGGGGGTGGGTCAGTGGGCGGCCATGGCCCAGCGGCCCCGCCGGGACACGACCCTCCCTCCCGCCGGCCGAGACGCGACCCGTGCGCATGCGCCGGCCCCCTCCACGTCCACAGTGCCGGGTCCGGGTTCTCCTGTGCGTTAGTGCAGCCCGGCGTGACGTCACGTCCGGGACCGCGCGGCCGGATAACCAGCCGCGCCGGAAGCGCCTCTCCGACACATCCGGCCGGGACTGCTCCTCCCGGAAGTCGGTCCGCTAGTGAGGAACCCCAGGCAAAGGGGAGCCCACGCCTCGCGCCTCCGGTGGCGCCTGGCCGCCTGTCACCCGGACCCCAGGGCGAGCCTTGGCCTGTATACCGCGCAAGAAGCGTGGGCGGCCGTCGGCGCCAGACGCCATGCCCTCGAGAGTAGGCGGGGCCGAGGCCCGTCGAGGTTGTGGGTGAACCGCCTCGTTGATGGGCGGTGGCGAGCTCAGAAGCACTGTCCTTGGGAGGCCGGGGCGGAAGGCGCGCCAGTGCCAGGCCAGCCTCGGCCAAGCTGGACTGTGTCCGCGTGAAAGCGCAGGAGGGCGGGACGGGGATGAAGCTCGGACCACCCCAAAAGAAAAGGACGGAGACACCTGGGGAGCGCCGAGACTGTCGCCCGTCGCACGCACGGGGCCTTAGCGAGGTGGCCGCCTGCGTGGAACTAGGCGTCCGCCCCGCATTCCCGGGGACAGCGCTCGGCCCTGCGGGACCACTGCGGGACTTCAGAGACCGCCCAAATCCAGAAAAATAGAAGAGAATGACCCTCTCGGTACCAGCAGTTGCATCCAGAGAATCCGCAGGAAGGAAGGAAAAGAGGCACAAGATGAAAACTACCAAAAAAAAAGGCAAACCAGAAGGAAGACCAGTCTGAGAAAAGCCAGAGGAGGAGGGACAGGAGGGAAAAGTAGACAACAAAGACGGATTCACTCTCTGCAGTAATTTAAAGACGACATACACAGTGCAAAGGCATTTGGGCAATGAGGTGGATGGAATAGGAGGGCTGGGCTCAGGGTAGCGCTCTTGCCCAGCATGCAAGAGGCACTAGGTTCTCAGCACCAACTATAAATGAATAAAATAAAGGTTCATCAACATCAGAAAAAGAATAGAAAAACAGAAATAGACGAGAATTAGAAACAAACCTAAGGGTGTTCCTGGATGGAACGTTAGAAACCAGCCTTGCCCCTGTTCACCTTTATTTCCGTTTCATCAAGATATTAACATTGCTGTATAGTGTTCTTTTATTAGCATTTTTCTAATATATCTTTCCTAGTATATCTTTTACTAGCATTTCCTAGTGATAAAACGTGCAAGTATATCCATCTTTCTACTTTTAACTAGCTGGTGTTAGTGGCTTTAGATGTTTCTTCTCTTACCTGCATCTCACTGTTTACTGTATTTTCAGCCCATCCTATGTTTACTAGGATTTACTTATTGTGTAAGTTCATAATAAAAAATGAAAGTTACTATGTAATATATGAATATATTTTGAAAGTTAATAATACATTTGTATTACTTATAAGCATATTAAGAACTTGTGAAGGATGAAAGGCTAAAAGTTTAGTCTCAGTTGTGCTATATGTATATATAACTTTCTTGTAAGCACTATCTTCAAAGATTGGCCTTGGGAAGAAATCTTAAGTTGATAGCCTAGTTCCTACTCCAGTCAGCAGCTGTTTTGTTTGGCCTCACTTATGTTAAAGACAAAATCCACCAACACTTAAAAGACAGACTTCATACAAAAATCCAGGGTTCCATGGTGGCACTCACTTTCAAAAGCATCTTGGACCTGCCCTAGGTCCTCCCAGTCTCTGAGACCTGGAAAGGGAGCAACCTGCCTAGAACCCGTGTAGAACAGGAAATGAAGGTAACTCTCACATGGAAGACTCCGGTGAAAGGAAAGGACAACAACAAAATGAAGAAAAGCCAGAAGACCAAAGCAGGGCCTGAGATGAAGGGAAGTCAGACAAGGAAGAAAAGCTGGATGTGGAGGGGAAGCCAGCACACCAGGGAAAGCTGTATGTAGGCTGAGAGAAGCCATGTGATAAGGGACAACCAGAAGATCAGGGTGAGCCAGAAAAGCAGGGAACGTGGGTGATGAGGGCAAACCGTAGGTGAGGTCAAGCCATAAAGCACCACTGAAGGGTTATGTGCCCTGTTGCAGAAGGGAAATGGATGGGCCACACTGATATTCCCAGTAACTCTCAGTAGGACCAGAGTAAAGGCATTGGAGCAGCAGATGAGAAACTGTACAGATGCATAGAGGGTCCAGGAAGAGATAAGGAAAAAACAAATGGGCAGCTTTCACCACATGCAGACACCTGCAGGATGTGCTGGCCCCAAACCCAAAGGGATGAGCAGAAAATCAGCATGGAGGCGGGGCCACTAGGGCCCTTTTGCCTTCAACTCTGGCTTCTTCAATCATCCTGTGGCAGCCTGAGTTCCCTGCCAGGATTTTTTCCAGGCCCTGTGCTTTCACCTTGAGCTGGTGCTTAGCATTAGGTGGCACTCTCCTTACCAGTGGCTCCTGACCCAGCTACAGCACTGTTGGTACAAGATTTGTACCTGTGTATGCTACAGGATAAATCAACAGAAAGTCTGCAGACCAACTTTGTATAAAAGACCCAAACCTCCTTAAACTATTTCTTTAGCGGGGAGATGGAGACAGTATTACCTTTTCAGAAGGCTACTTTTGAGAAGTATAGCACCTGAACAAAGGAGATGCTAAATGTTGTTTCTTCACCTTCAGAAATTGAGGCTATGCTGGGGACATGGCCAAGTTCTAGCTTAGTAGTCCTCAAGGCCCTGGGTTCCATCCCTGGTACCCAAATAAACTAACAAAAATTCAGGCGGGCTCTGTGACTTTTTAGGTATAGAATGTAAATTTACCTCCTTTGGATTGATAATCAAACAATTTGTCAACATGGAGCTGGGAAGAATAAATGAAAACCACTGACACATAACTACAAAGCTTTTGAGCAGAAAACTGCCATCTAACCAAAAAACAAAACAAAAAAACTGTCATCCAAGTCAACAACAAGGACTACATGTTCCCACATTAAAATACTACAACCCAGGTTTTTAGTACATATGCTTAATTTTGGTTTTAGTATCTTTGAAGAAACAAAAATATGTTGTGACCTTAATATAAAAATAGTTATTCAATTTCATTACATAATTATGTTAGAGGCAAGTCAGATTAAAACAGTAGATCTTTACTGTGGAAATCACTGTAGCAAAAGTATTAATTCAGGTGCAATAAAAATCTGGTGATAGTAATTCTTTTAAACATTTAAAAATTATTCCTACATTACTTTGGAATTACTATTCAACTTAATCTACTTTTTAAAATTTCAGTGAAAAAGGAAGACAATGTATGATTTTATTAATAAATAGTGCAAAAGCATCAGCGATAACTGTTTAAACAGTAAATTTTTTAAACAGCCATGTCCTGGCTTAAATCTGTGCATATTGGCCTCTATGGCACTACAAATAAATACATGAAAATAGTTCCTATTTTCATGCACAGGTATTCAGTTATAACACTGTTTACAAATTATTATGGACAAGATAAAATGCAATAATTAACATTCATTTGGACAGCCACAGTGAAATGAGCATTAAATCAAGAAACAGTCTATGTTCAGGATACTCTACATGTCAAGCTGTAATGTTAAAAACTGAATTCCTTATTTCCTTGAAGGTTGTCCTCTGTGTATGTGGTGCTCAAGTGAAGGCCGAGGAGTGTGTTCTTCAAGCAGAATAACAATGCTCACACACAGGAGGGCGCCTGCCTCCTCCTTCAAGAGAAGCAACCCACTTAGTCCAGGTACCCTCTCCCTCCAGGCATCATCACCCATACAAGGAAGATGCTTGTAAGCACCAACCCCAAAACTCTGTCTTCAAGGTAAGTTATCAAGTTAAAAAAGAGTAGTTCATTACATTAAAAAAAAAAAAAAAAAAAAAACAAATTCCAGCAATACTAATGCTAAAAATGACATCAATTATATTTCTTAGCATCCATGAAGTATCTTATTTCCCTAAGTGTTCTATTATGTGCAGATTTATTCTCCTTAAGAAGTAAAATGCAGTTTGAATAGTACAGTCTGTGGTGTGGTGACATCAGCAACTGCCAGTTCTTGTCCATCAACGAGTCCTAATTCTTAAAATAAAAGAAGCATAATTAGTCCCCAGCAAAAAAGAAAAAAAAAAAAAAGAGAGAGAGATAAAGGTAACAATATACACACGAATATAGTTTTATGGTACAGATAAACATAGAAATTAAGTTCTCTTTAAGCAAGATAATAATTATTTTTTTGGAGTTTATTAATTCTATTAAAAGAGCAATTAATTCTTTTTCCAAAGATATAAGTAATTATGATCTGATCATGTATTAAGTGCATTAAGTGCATTAAGTGCAAATCTAGAATAAACATTTACTATTTTTACCAAAATAAAACTATTAATATATGTTTAAAATACCTTTCAACGTCTTGGAAAGATTTGGCCTTGTTCGTTCTTCAATAGAAGTTACTGACTAGAAAACAAAACTTACGTTAATGTAAATCACATTAAAGTGAAATTAAACTGTTGCTAAAATTTTCTGAAAAAAAATTTAAAATGAGCACTGATCACCTGTAAGTAAAGTGTTCTGTTGTTCCCCTCTAATGTGGCTGTAATAGCTGGAGATTTCATTTGCCTAAATATGATCATGAGAAAAATATAACATCATTTGCTTAAAAAACAATTCTTGTTTTCAAAGTTTTAAAATACAAAATAAAGGATTTTTACAATATAACCAAAGCACAGAACACTTACAGAGAAGCACTATTGGTTAGATAATCCAAAACCTCCTGCAGTTTTGCTGATGGAGAAAACTGAATGTTCTGAGGAAGCTGGCTACAAGCTGGGCAGTTTTCCTATGTACAGAAAACACAACAAATTTCAGTGGTACATGAACCAATACTAGTCTCCTTGTAAACAAGGAAATGGAAATCAAGTTATTTATGATCAGGCATATTTCCTATGAAAACTTTTTAATGCTTTAAAGGCTGTTTCTCATAATAGACTATTTCTTCTAAATTATTTTGCTGTAGAGTATTTATTTGAGACTACCCATCAATAGATGTGTAAGTAGAGCTCTGGTAGTTGGCAAGTAAAATACTCATGATTTGGGCCATTCTGTTCAAATTGCTGATCAGAAATTAATATGTAAAAATCAAAGCATGCATGATCAAAAACCTTCCCATTAGTTGAACAGTACCAACCTTTCTCTCGGCTTCAAATGTGTAAGTGTACAGCCCGTCTACGTCATTGAATACCAAGTAATTATTAAGGGGAATGTATGCACTGTAATGAAAAGAGGTTCATCTTTACACAATCAAACCATGTCAAAACATAGATTTATATATATATTAAAGATGAAAACCATTACCTTGTAGCTATTTTAAAAACTTCAGTGGCACACACAGCTGAAAGGGGAGAAAATAAAGATGCTTTAACTCATTTGAAAATTAGACACTTAAAAGGTTAGTTATAAATCAGAATACATTTACAATGGCTATTGATTTTTTAAAAATATGCTCTTTTAAAAACTGAAAAAGCTACAAATTTTCATTTGTTTTGTGAGATCTAAGCAACAGAGTAACATACTTATTTTTCTTCTTCTTTATCAGATTAATGAGCAGCCTGTTATACTGGTATTAAAATGTCCCTCCACTGAAAAGCACATTAAGACATAGCATGGACAAAAATTATGCAGGGTTCAACAGCTTGTTCTTCTTTGGATAACTTAATTACACAATTCACCCAAGATACTGAACTCCTGAAACACTAGTAGCTGCAGAAACATCAATTTAAACACTGATTCAAAAACCAAAGGAAAGAAACAACTAAGAGGTAGTCTTTCCTCCTTACCTGCAATGACTGCGTTTGTGGAAGCAACAGCAGGAATGATGCGTTTTACCACCCCTGAAAAAATGTATCAATTAAAATACAGTCATTTGTCTTAAAATAATAGTTTAAAATGATTATTAATGCCATTTTTGGGCTTTAAAGCCAGGGAGTAAAGGTTAATCATGAAACAATGTTTTGCGCTCCTATCATTTTATAATGTGCTCAGAATCTTAATCTACAGGAACAGAGAGATTTTTCTGGTGTACAGAAGTGCTCCTCCAGGTCCTCTGGTTTCTCTCTTCCCTATGGACGCTCCAGTCCTCAAGCTGCAAAGTGTACACCATGTTCTGGTGAAAGGTGTGGGAGGATGAAGGAGAGCCAGCCTCAGGAATTTAGCGAGACCCTGAGCAACTTAGGAGACTCTGTCTCAAAATTAAATATTAACAGGGCTGGGGATGTGGCTCCATGGTGGTAAAGTGCCCCTGGGTTCAATCCCTGTTGCCAAAAAAAAAAAGTATGGATGAAGGAAATAACATCCTGAAATGCGTTTATCGTTCTCTAAGACAAAGCACACTTATTTGTTAATTTTAAGGACTGCCAAGTGCATCCCATATGCCAGACACTGTTCCAGGTGGTGTTCACAGTGGCAGTGAAGAAAGTTTCTGACAGACCTTTCAGGGGGGACATAGCAATTAAATGAAACAGTGTGTGTTAGGACAACAGTGGTGGGGGGTAGTCCTCATGAGATGGCCCTGAGGCCTCCTTGGAGAGGGGATGGAACCATGGCAAGGACCCAGTCAGTCATGCAGTGATTTCTCTAAACAGCAATAGCCTCAGTCCCAGATTCGGATGCTTAACAGCGTAAGTGTGAAATACTCTTTGCATTAAAAAATGAGGCTGTCAGTAAATAGTGTCGTGCAAGGAAAAACAGGTAAAGTAGGCACGGTTTAGACATCAGCGGAGGCCGAATGATGAAAGAACCTGGTTGATGGATACCTGAGGGAAGGAGGAAGTCTTGAGGGATCAATGAAAAGAATATTCCAGGCACAGGCATCAGGGGGTATTAAACCACCAAGGGGTGAAGGAGCATGATGTGTTCAGGGAACACCAAGCTGGTCAGCACAGGGAAGGGAGTGGGGTAAGGAGGACAAGGTATGAATGGAAGTTTCAAGTAACGTCACTAGCACACCAGTGAATATAAGGAAATAATCAAGAAGGAAAACAGGCAATTTGCAAAAAGAAAAACCTCTTCCTGGTGAACCTCTGAGACTCGGGGGCAAAATTCTAGGAAGGATGGATGGCCTGTAGTAGGTAGGCCAGGAGCCCTGCTGACAGCGACTGAGCTGACTCTTCAGAGGCAAGTCTTATAGGACCAGTCCCATCTAGCCACTATGACCAGCTGGGCAACTCAGGGACACAGGGAAGACATTGTGTCCAGGCTTACGCAGAGCAGAAAGGTCCTTCAGCAATAAAAAGAAATGTGAAATACTCAAGAAGGCCTAATTAATAGAATGATCTAGATGTGAAAGGGTCTGAATCACATGTCTGCTATCAGGCAACTAAGTCTTGTTTTTTTTTTTTCCTCCTCCTCCTCCTCTTTTTTGGCTGGGAACTGATCCCAGGGTCTTGAACATGCTAGGCAAGTGCTCTACCACTGAGCTATATCCCTAGCCCTTTTTATTCTCTTGCCCAGTTGCCCAGGCTAGTCTGGAATTTTTGACCCTCCTGCCTCAGCCTCCAGGGTAGCTAGGATTACAGGCATGCACCACCATGTTGGGCTAAAATTTCAATCAGATGTTTGGAGAAGAAATAAATAGTAAGTTTTTCAAAACAGAAGATCAATGGAAGTTGGTAGAGAGAGAGAGAGAAAATAGGAAGTTGAATTTTAAGAATAAATGTCTAAGAACCTATACTTGGATAAAATAAAACAACACCCCAAATTGCCAAGTCTGTAATAGGGAGACGTGGCTTCGCGACTGCATAGTCAGAATAAACAGTAGACAGGAGACAAGAGAATCCAAAGTGCAGCATCGAGGACAAAAGAACAAACGGCAGAAAAACAAAAACTCTACTCTCATCTTTAAGAGTGCACCATCTGTCCCAAGTCTGGTTCACAATAAGCCGGATCCCAGAATGCTGCTCTGGCCAGGCAGTCAGGACGGCACAGACAACTGGAATATAGCCCCAGCAGAAGCAGGCAATGAGGACTTGAGGCCACACAGCATGAGAGAGGTCTACAGAGTGACAGACCTGGGTCCTCAGTACCTGCAAAGGTAGGCAGAGGAGCACTAGACTGAGATGAAAGGTAGAGATGTCTTATCTTCGACTTAGAGACTACACAAAATAATCATGCAACAGCATTGTCCAAATGTGAAAGAGATGTCCACAGGGAGCCATGGATGTCTTCATTGAGAGAGAAAGTGGAAGACTCAGGGCCTAAATAAGCACAATCCTATCATTTCACTAACCCCCTAGTAATACATAGTGTGAATTCTGCTGGACCTGGTTCTCTCTACTCTGGGGGAACCTGGAAACTGTCATTTCCATGTGCCTTTACTGAATCTCAAATGGATGGTACTGTCTAAAATTACTTACTGATAATTTCCCCAAAGCATTCCTAGCCCTTAAAAAAGGGATCACCCAAAGATCATAATTCCTTGACAATTCACTAACTTACCTTGGGTGAGCCTATATGTAACACCCCTAATATTATATTGTGATGCTCTCTCTAGAGATTTTTGGAAAATCCATTGAATATGTTCAGGATCGTCTCCATCTAATAGAACCCCTTCTGTTAAAAAAAAAAAAAAAAAGAGAGAGAGAGAGAGAGAGAAAGGAAAACAGAAATATGTAATCATAAGCAATTTATTTTTTGATGAAATTATCCAAATGAATAATGTAGAAAATACATATTTTATATAATTCTGGATTATTAAATTAGGTTAATTACCTCCAAAAGGTTGCTCTTTAGGCCACTGCAACATCCTTACATACTCAATACAATGCTCTGGTAGCCTGGGCATAGATGCAATGGTGCACATGGGAAAATTAACCTAAAACCAAGTTTGTCTTTTTTAGTGAATTTTAAGTGATGAATTATTTTAAAAAGCAACTTCTAGTTACGATTTAGTTGTAACATTCACCTCAGAACTCCATTTATATAAGGAAAACACTGTATGCCATTAATATTTCTAAAACTAACGGAGTAGCTCAGTTACTTTAGGTTCATCTTCCTATAAAGATGGGTTGCCCTATTCTTTTATGCTATGTAAATTTAAGCTCTGTTAGAACAAGAGAAGTGCTGAATTAGGTTCTCAAATATGAATCACTTATGTTTACCTGATATTTAAATACGAAGGTATGAAAGAAAAAAAAAAAAAAAACAAATTGAGAGAAACCAACTTTTAAGTCATATGAAATATAAATTCCAAAATTTTAACTGTCCTTTAAAGTGGGCAGGTAGACTAAAGAGCCCCATTTGGAAACGTCATTCTATTGCTGGTATTTTTATTTCCCTAAAATAAGGACAGCTGTTCCCTTTCATCTGGGGGGATACATTCCAAGGCCCTCCATAGAAGCCTGAAGCTGCAGATCTATACCCAACCCTATACATGCTGTTTTTCCCTACACATACATGCTTTAGCGTAAGAAAGAGTCTAACTTATAAATTAAATACAGGAATAATAATGATAAAAATGAAAGAATGAAACACAATACAATAAATGTCATGTGAGCGTGGCCTCTCAGCATCACTGTCCTACAGGCATCACTGTCTTTGGCTTCTGCAGCCCACTGTTCCTTTGTCGTGCCTGTTTCTGAAGATGCTGTTGATGTTTTGGACTAGGGACTAAACCCAGGGGCCCTTGAGCACTGAGCCACATCCCCACCCCTTTTTATTTTTTGAGACAGGGTCTCACCCAGCTGCTTAGGGCCTCTCTACACTGCGGAGGCTGGCTTTGAACTTGTGATCCTCCTGCCTCCGCCTCTAGAGCCACTGGGATGACAGGCGTGGGTGACTGCACCAGCCATCTTTTTTCCCCCTTTATTAAGTCAAGGACCTTCACTTTTTCACTGAAGGGAAGCACCTGCTGTTTCTCTTTGGCATGTACAAACTGCTCCTGTGCTCTGGAACCATTTTTGAGACAGGAGCACCTTCCACACCACCAGTGACATAGGACACTGATGTGATAATCGAGCACACATAGCATGGACTCTGCACAAAGGAGCGAGTCATAAGCTGGGCAGGCAGATCAGAATGGCATGGCATGAGATTTCATCACATACTGAGCACACAATTTAAAACTTACAAACTGTCTATTTCCAGAATTTTCCATTTAATGTTTTCAGAACATAGGTAACTAAAACCAGGGAAATCAAAAACATGGATAAAGGAGGAATACTGTGTAACTGAAAACCAAATAAATCACAGCTTTATCTCAGCACACTCTGTAATTCTCCTCGATCCCTACCTCCCAAATAAACAACTAGTACAAATGAAGTATAAAAGCAAAACAGTTCAGAACTATGATATTCAGTCTATAACTTTCCTTAAATAGACAAGAACCTCAAGTTTTATTCTTAAAATAATCATATTTTTCAAAACTGATTTACTTATTTTGTGCTGGGGATTGAAGCCAAGCCTCATGCATGCTAAATAGATGCTCTAGCACTGCACGACACCCCAGTTCTTAGCACAATTAAAAATGTTCACCCCTAATTAGAAATCCTAAGTCCTGACTAGATGTAAGAATTCAACCCCACTTTAGCGTAAGATGCTATGAGAGACGCGCAGGTCCTTCTAGTTACCTGTGGTGGATAGAGCTCCAGCGTGCACTCGATGCACGCAGTCATCCCAGGCAGGATCACCCGGGCATTGCCTTTAAAACCTTCTGTTCCCCCATCAATCAGAGGGACAATGGAGCTTGGATCCAGCACACCATCTTCATAGTTTAGGAGAGAGATCTAGGGAAGCGTTTTGAATGTTGAAAGGGAGAAGGGATTAAAAACTGAAAACCAGCAGCACACTTCCAAGTAACTCTGGGAGGGTCACACTGCTAACATCTACACTCCAGGGTGATAGTGTTCACAGTCTGTGTTCTCCCCTCAACCACTGACTGGGAAGTAACAGAGAAGTACATTCACTTAATCCAGAATTACATAAACTGATTTCCAAAAACAGGATATGCAATTCTGGTCCTTGGTATGTCAAAAACAGAGGCAAACCCTTCAGAGAACTGTGACACTAAAGTCTTTACCAGCATTCCATTAATCCATCTTCTGGCTATGATGGAGTCCAGGCCACACACGATAATATGAAATTCTAAGAGAGACAAACCAGGTTTAATTTTTAAAGACTCAGTTCCACGTGATGTTCCCAGGCAGTCCCCTACACTGGCAAATGCACCACTCTGGTGTGGAATGCTAATAGCAGAGAAGGCTGTTGCAGGGAGAAGGGACAGGAAACTGGGATTCCCATTCTACTGTGCTGAGGACCTAAAACTGCTCTCAAAATATATATTTATTAATTTAAATAAGGCAGTTTTACAAAATGATTTGCTTTCTTAGAAACCAACGATAAAGTGCATTTTATCACAATCTCTCTCTCTCAAAGCTTCTGACCCTTGAGTAATCCTTATTTCAGTCAGCACGGAACAATACAGCAAGTCGATCAACTACGACCTAAAATCGTGGCACTCTTTTCAGTTGGTTGATCGAGAACCTGACTGAAAAACCAATGCTGAGAAAAACCAGCTGAGAGAGCCTTCCAGCAGCCAGCAATTGTGGAAAGGCCAGCAACTAAAAAGCTAAGAACCGAGGAAATTAATTTCAAGCGAACAACTTACGTCGATAGAAAGTGTCATTGAAATCTTGAATCTTGTTGAAGTGTCTGAACACAGGTAAAGGAACTTAAGCGGCCAAAATTTTAATTTCTAAAATGAACTTAAAATGCCAACAGAACAAATGATAAGTGTATATTTAAACAAGAAACAGTGTTCAAAGCAGGGGATTCAAGAAACCTGACAAGACCCACACAAGCCTACTTCCTGGCAGTCTTTCCTCCCTCCCTAACCACTGGTCTCCCCATCCCTGAGCACCTCTCATCAACCAAACCAATGCCCTCTGGGAGGTCTGCAGGCTACCTGGCTGTAGGTTGGTTGTGTTTGGTTTTGGTACTGGGGATTGAACCCAGGGCCTCACACACACTAGCAAACGCTCTCCCAGTAAGCAACGTCTTCAGCACAGCCTCCATTTAAAAAGCAAGATTTCTAATTTGTGCCTACAAATAGTTGTGAAAAATAAATGATTTTTCTCACCCATTCAGACCTCCATTCCTTTTGAACACTAGGCAAGTAGGAACCTGAGCCATAGCTAAGAGGTCAACAAAAGAAACACAGCAAGCCTGGAAAACTGGCAGTGGGGGAGCCAGGGGCTACCCCAAGAGATCACTCACGCAGGCCTGTGTGTGGTGCTGGGGACAGTCTGCACAGCCTGGGCACCTGCTCACCACTGAGCTCAAACTCCGGCCCTTTTTTATTTTACTTTGAGACAGGATCTTTCCAAGTTGCCTCAAACTCGCAAACCTTCTGCCTCAGCCTCCTGAGTAGCTAAGAAGACAAGGGTGTGTTACCAAGCATGGCTCCACATCCTGGATTTCTATAAAATACACAAGGTTTCTCAGATCTAAATAATGACCCAGAGAGAATACAAATATCCTTGCTTTTTTTGGCCCTAAAGAGGCAGTATTTCCAACTTATGTTCAAATAATATGAATTTATAGTAAGTTCCAAGCAGAGTACAGAAAGGTCTCATGGTTACATCTCACATTATCACAATGTCATAACCATGACTACAACATTGTTACCATGTGAATACAGCTGACATTCAGACACAACTGTACATCTCACAACTGTTCTACCACCATAAAGGCCTCTCAACACCTGTTTGTAGCTGATCCCTGACCTCATGCCTAATCCCTGGCGTCACTCACTTTCCATCTCCTTCACTGTCATTTCAAGATGGTATGTAAGGGGAGCCCCCAGAATCTGACCTTCCGAGGGTAACACTGTTCACTCAGCAGTCTATACGTTTCACAAGGTGCTTTTACTAGTCAGTAGTATTTCGTGACAGGTATACTACAGTTTGACACTTGACCTATCGCGGGAAGTTGTTTGCAGTTTTGGGCTACCTACCACAAACAGCCATGAACACTGTCACAAAAATTGGCTTTTATGCAAACATGTGTTCTTTCCTCTGATACAATGAAACTATCAGGTGCTCTGCAAGTTTATGCCTACAATTTTAGGATCAGCCAAACTATTTTTCAGGATGGCTACCCTATTTTACATTTCCATGAGTAACATGTGAGTGATCTTGTTTTTCTGTAATTCCATTAGCATTAGTTGCCATATTTTCTTAATAAAATATCCCTTTATATCTTTCATCCATTTTTAAATGGGATTGTTTAACTGTTTGTTTGGTGATACTGGAGATTTAAGCCAAGGTTTTACACATGCTAGGCAAGCATTTTATTACTCAGCTATATCCCCAGCCTTTTTTATTTTTGAGACAGGGTCTCCTAAGTTTCTCAGATTGGCCTCAAACTTACGATATCCTGCTTCAGCCTCCAGAGCAGCTAGGATTATAGGGGTGCACTGCTGTACTAGACTTACTACTGAGTTTTCAGAATTCTTTATATATAGTTGGCCCTCTGTATCCATGGGTTCTACAGGCGTGGTTCAACAATTTGGGATAGTATTGGGGAAAAAAAAAAGAATCACACCTTACTATGTTCAAATAATATGAATTTATAATAAGACTGTTTTTCTTTGTCACTATTCCCTAAACAGTTCAACTATTTTCATAGCATTTAAATTGCATTACGTATTGTAAGTAATCTGGAAATGATTCAACCTCATCGTTCAGTATAAATACTAGGCCATTCTACATAACAGGACTTCAGCATCCCTGGACACTGGTCTCTCTGGCAGCCTGGACTTGATCTTCCATGGACACTGAAGGAACTGTATTGGAAACAGGACTGCCTTGCAGCTGCTTCATCATCCCTCCAGTCGGGTGGTCTGCCTTTCCCTCCCTGTGAGAGGGTCTTTCACAGACCCAAGGTTTCTGATTTTATTCAAGTCCTGCTTGTCAACTGTGTCTTCTGTGGATGATGCTGATGTGATCTAAAGACTGGTCAACAAGCCCAGGTCCCAAAGACAATTTGCCATCGTCAGGCTTCTCCCTTTCACACCGTATGCTTGCATCCATGCCCACTCCGTCAATTCTACAGGAGGGGTGAGGGTCAGGCCGGGGCAGTCCAGCTAATCCAGCACAGCTACGGCAGACGGCCCTTCCTCCACTGAGTTGTCTTTGTGCCTTTCTAAAGCCCAGCTCCTGTCCCTGCCCTTCTGTTCACCGATCTGTGCACTGTCCCTCTGACAGTGCCTGAGAAGCCTGGACACTGCACAGCAGCTCCTTCCACTTTATTCTTTTTTTCCCCTAGAATTGTTTTAGCCATTCCTTTCCTTTCCATACAGATTCTGGAATAATTCTGTATCAGTAGAACTTTTCTTGGGATATTGATAGGAACTGTAATGTCACACAGAAGTGACATTACCAAATTGTTCAATCCTTGAACACAGAATCTCTCTCCTTTTATTTGTTCTTTGGTTCTTTCATGAGCACTTTACGGTTTTCAGCACACTGGCCTTGTACTTATCTTGTTATATTTCCACTTAAATCCTACTGTTTTTGACAGTTCTACATGGCACTGTACTTTGGATTTCAGTTTCCAGATGTTCACTGTTAAGTCATGGAAACAACTGATTTTTATGTTGATTTTGATTTCTGAAGCTTTTCTCACATCTAAATCCAATCTCCTGATTGCCTATAAAATATCAAGTTTCCCAGATCTAAATTCCTACCACAGTAGGAATACTCCTTTGTTAAAAAAAAAAGAAAAAAAAAGATTCTTGTAAAAGTAAATTTTTTCTAACATGATACAACTTCCATTTACCTACCAACATGCCAACTGTCTACTCTGTCAACTACTAGAAGACACCACTGGCCTAGGAACTCAGTCTAGTAGCAAACATATGTGACTGAGACTGAAACTAAGAACAATCATTCAAAATGAAAGTAGATGATGACACAGTCCACATGAGCTTAACTGGAAAGTCAGGGCAAAGCTGGGTGTAACAGCCACACCCATCATCCTAGCTGCTAGGGAGGCTGCAGGAGGAGGAACCCACACTCTAGGCCAGCCTGGGAAACTTACCCAGACCATCTGAAAATAAAACAAAAATATGACCCAGAGTTGCTATGCACCAAATTTCTGATGCCTTTTAAATACCTTGATGCCTGTAGCATTAGAAATGCTTTCTTATTTAAAATAAAATTTTTTAAATAGATTAAATAAATAAATAAAACAAGAAGGGCTGGGGACGTAGCTCAGTGGTAGAGTGCCCTGGGTTCAATCCTAATACAAAAAATAAAAGCAAAAACCAGGATGAAAACATATTTACATAACTATAAAGAAAAAATGGAAAGATTATAAAACAAAAGGTTACTGTCTATTACTTCAGTAATAAAATCATGCCACCTTTTCCCCTTATCTATATTCTTTATTTAATGTGTTATAATAAAATTTGATCTCAAAAAGTAAGCAATGCTTTTGACAAAAGGATACGGAACTACATTGCAATTAGGAATCCTGTCATTTAAAAATTCTGCAGCAACTTCAGCCTTAGGTCTTCCAACATCTTTAGGCCTACAGGAAAAATCATATTTAAATGATCATTCATAATATAAATCTAGATGATCCACATAATTAAATTTTAAACATAAATATAAATACACAGTGAATTTACTTATAGAATATTTAGAATTTTTTAGCTAAGTATTTTTACACCAATAATAACTTTCTTTTTTTTTTTTAAATTAGTTTTCTTTTTTTTTAAAGAGAGAGAGAGAGAGAGAGAGAGAGAGAGAGAGAGAGAATTTTTTAATATTTATTTTTTAGTTTTCGGCGGACACAACATCTTTGTATGTGGTGCTGAGGATCGAACCCGGGCCGCACGCATGCCAGGCGAGTGCGCTACCGCTTGAGCCACATCCCCAGCCCCCAATAATAACTTTCAACCCTAAATTTCAATCCCTGCTGATGGTCTTTACTATGACATCTAATTATGTACTTAAGTGAAAACATGAACAGTGCTTTTTTTTTTTCCAGGTAAAGCATAAAAATGCCCTATTTCCTGGACAGTTATCACTCTGACATTTTTCAGTGTAAGAACTTAAATATCCAAACAAACATTCCAGGTACATAGCCTGAACCCAGAACCTTAAGAGGTTACTTACCTACTATGCAAGCCTTGCCTGAAATATAAAGAGATTCATTCTAGGGTCACAAGAACCTTCTACTTATTATCGCCTTCTTCCAGTGTGTGCTAACTAATAAATTCTGGGTCCCTTAAGCAGCTTTACTCATGTTTTTAAAGAAAGAGTAATTTTCAAAGGCATTACCTAAAAAGTGCAAATAGATCAACATTTTCAAGAAGCCAACAACATAAAGCCCCAAAGGTCACCCCTAGCTAATAACCACGTAACAGGAGAGGACACCATTCCCTCTTCCAGCAGGACCCAGGGCATTTCTTTTCCTAATGCCTCCTTATCCTTCTCATACAATGACTCACTCCTTCATGTACTCAGGAAGTGCCTCATGATTCCTACCTTCATAACACATTTTATCATATGCACACCTATCAGACCCACCAGATTTAAACACCTGGAAAAAAGCAATTGTATTTTTACTCTTGTATTCCTTCATGTCTAACATGAACACTTTAAAACAAATGAAAATAACACATCTCATTGGCTTATTAGAGGGTATATTTTATTTAAAATTGGAATTTCAAAGAAAAATACTTTAACAGGTCAATTTTTCTCTTCTCCATACAACAATATTCTTTTTACATTCAAATCTGCTAAGAGTTTTGTTGTCAATTTGTCCTAATTTGCATAAGACTATAAACCAGAGCACTTGATTTCAGTATTGCATCCAACTGCTGTGTACACAGGAAGCTCCTTGGGTATGTAGTAGGGATTGTGCATCCTAGGCTTTCACAGCAGATACCAAGCAGAAGAACCCCATAGTGGTTTCTGGGAAGACTGCTGGCTCATTTACATGCTAACTGGGATCTGACTGCTCCACACAGGACTGCCTTATAAAAAATGGCCTTTTGCACACATCCTTACAGACATCTTCACCGAATTACTTAACCAAGAATTGAGAACTACTTTGAAATTAAATAAGGTAACACATATAGAGTTTAGAAAGTGCTTAGCACCTAATAAACACTCAAGAAATGTCAACTATCATTATTTCTTCAACCATTTTAGCCACAAATTAAAGGGCATGGCCTATTATCAATAATCAATCATTTCAGTGGACTTTCAGAGCATTTCTATAATCAAAATTTGTCATACTAGAAATGGTCCACATACCAAGAAAAAAGAATATATTTGCTTACAGAACTATTTTCACTCAGATGCTCCAAATTATCTTGCAAAATTTTTCATAAAACTAAGCACTAGTTTTCTTTTTTCCTAAATAAAATTTGCATATATTCTCCATTAGTTTTTAAAAAATCTATTAAACTTCAATGTACACAAGTTCAAATGTTTTGCAGGGTTAAGGAAAAAAACTCTGATAGTAAAACTTACCTAAATAAAAACTGCCTATTTAGATTGGAAACATCTATAGTGTCCATGTCTATAACATGAATCTGCCTAAAACCAGACAGAGCCTGTGGGAACAAAAACAATCCAATTAAGCAGAAGTGTCCTGACAATTGTGGAAATTTAAGATTTGTTTTCAGTGCAGCCCACACCCAAAACTCTTGGTAACAAACTCTGCATAACTGCATTCCATGACTAAAAGAAGTCTTAAAGGCACACAAAACTTGTGATGGTAAAAGTGTGTACTGGCCCAGCTTCAACCAGCCTGGAACCAGAGGACAGCAGCTCAGGCCTCTGTGGCTTGTGACTCTGCTGCTCCCTGCCTAGATGGGTGTCCCCCAGGCACCTGCATGGCACACTGCTTGCCTGGCTCAAAGACACCTTCTGCAGCCTGTGCCCAAACGCCAGCCTTCCTCTCTTGCCTCCTTCCTGTCTCCACAGGTTGGTTGCCACCTATAAATTCTGCTCGTCTTTTCCCCTCAGCTAAAATGTGAGCAGCATGCACACCTGTCTGTATTGCTCAATGCTACATCTTTCCCATCTAAAGTGGTGCTCAACACATGCAGAGGAGGCTCAAGAAATGTAGGCTGTTGAGTCACTAAACAAAAACAAGAACAACAAAAAAACATGTATCTCTTATGTGCCATGGCTAAATAAAGCAAAGTAACAGGGAGAAAACTGAAGTCCTAAGTTTTTTTGCCTTGTGTAAGAAGTAAATGATGTAACAAATAACAACCACTCCTTGAAGCTGTTTGTTGACTAATCCTCAGATCTAATCTTCAATTATTTTACATTTAATGTTAGTACATACCACATAAGAAACAATGGGCTTCGAAATGGAAGTGAAGCTTTCAGAGACTTGGACATACATATTGTTTAACAAAATCACTGTCTAAGCTCCAGGAGCACTTCCCTTCCACAAGTCTGTGGTTTCACATTGCAGGAGCATCTAAGTCTGACAAGGTGCCATCATTTTGGCACTCTAACCCAGAATATCACACACACTGCTATTTTATACGTATGAGACTTGTCTCCCCAGTAAAAATGTAAATTTGTTGTAGAGACCATGGAGACCTGTAATTCCCAGAGAAGCCAGCATAACACTATGTACAATGGACATTTAAGTGTCTACAACTTCAATAGGAGTGACATTAGTGTTTCTTAGTGCAATTAATACAGCTGGGTTTACACTGAAAAAAATTTTTGGTACTGGAGATTTAACCCAGAGGCATTCAATCCCTGAGCCACATCCCCAGCCTTTTTTATTTCTAATTTTGAGACAGGTTCTCAAAATTAAGTTGCTGAGGCTGGTCTCACACTTGCAAACCTCCTGCCTCAGCCTCCTTAGTTGCTGGGATTACAGGCCTGGCACCACTGTGCCCAGCTTTTATACTGAAACTCTAATTGCCTTGGGCAACTACTCAGAACCCCCACCTGTTCTCTGACCTGCTTTATCTTCTCAAGCATTTCCACTGCCCACACAGCAATGAGAAGCCCACCTGTAACAGTTTTAAATCAATTCTCCCCTTACCTATTTTTGTTAAATAAACTGATAAAAGACTGAAAAAGCCACTGTGTGGTTATAAAAAAATTAATGAAACCAATTAATTATACAACAAATTATGAATTTCCATAAAATATGCACAGGTTTAGCCATCCTAAATTTAGGGGTTTATCATGGGTCATCAAAAATTACCATTTTATTAGGTCACATAATGCTTACCGCTTCAGTGAAAAAGGATACTAGTCTCACAATTGATTCCAGGCCATTCACTATAATCCAGAAAAATCTGGAACTTCCCTGACCTCAGTGTTTCACTCTATAAAATGATACAATGTTTACTCATCTAGCTGGTTAATTTGGAAAAGTAAAAGAAACAGTAAATTATTTGAAACTCACATTAAAATACCAATTACTCGTTTTTTATTTATTTCAGTGTCAGTAAAATAAAGTGGGTTCTTTGCAAAAGAATATATGCCAAAATTTGGTCAAGAGCAGAGAAGAAAATAAGTATAAGAAATTCAAGAATTTTATAAAGTTCAAAACGTTCCAAAGTGATGTCCTTAAATCGAATTTACTGTGTAGAATATGACCTACTAAACTTATCTAACAAGGACTCAAGAAAAAGTTAACAGTCACAATAGAGAAATTTCCTAGTATGGCAGAAAAGGAAAAGATTTACTCATCACCAAAGACAATAATACTTTATATATATATATACATATATATACACACATATATTACCAGATTTTTCAGGAGCTCACATCCTAAGCCACCAGCTCCAATGATTAGAACTTTACATGTATCTAACAAAAACTGGAGAGACTGTAAAGAATGGAAAGGCATATTAAAATCTTGATGATTACCATTAATAAAGCAACAAACCACAAGATAGCTTCTGATGTACCCAAGAAAAATACAATTAAGGATAAAGAGCAGTTTTCATTTGACCAATTACTTCAAATTTATGAATCAGATCCAGAAATTCTAAAATACTAATGATTTCACAGTTTTAAATTGACTTTTACTGTGTAATGTTAAAAGGCTATTTCTAACAGGAAAAGCTATCCTAATTATTTTTTCTTTAACTTTTGAAAGAGTAGGGAAAGCATCAAATTCAGTTACTTAATTGATTTCCTAAATAATAGAAAAGTTTAAAAATCTTACAAATCGATGATAGAGCATTAAATAAGGTGTTTAAAGTTTTAAGAAATAAGAAGAATAACAGATGCTTTTGAACACAGTAAGAGAAATAAAACATGAGATGACAGAAGAAAAAACAGAAGGAACTCAGAAAATTCCTTATCAGCAAAAAATGATTTGAAACAATAATTTTAACAGAAGGGACACTCTTAAATTATCAAGCAAAACAAATAAAACTTTAAAAGTACAAGAAAGTATGGTGTATTATCCAAAGAAAGCAGATGTAACTCTATAGATTCTTGTTCAACTACTCAAAGATGAGACCCTGGGCCAAACTCAAAATTCTGCACACTAAATTTTAGGAGTAGCACAATATTTCTATTTCAAAATAATACCTCTTCTGAACACAAAAGTACATAAAAATTTATTGTAAAGAATCCTTTTTTCCATATTATAATGAAAAGCAAGTTGTATCTAATTGAACATTAGCTTCAAGTCAGACATATCAGTTCAAAATTCTATTACAGCACAAACATTTTAACATGCAATTCATTACAGTCAATGCTAAGATGCTCATTCCAGCCCAATTTCAAAACTTAAACAAGCATATCTATATTCCTATCAAAAGTTAATTTCTCATAACAAGGCTACAAAAGGGAAAAGTGTCTAAGAAATTACTTTGAGCTTTAAGAATTTAAAGTGTAACAACTTGAATGAAGTTATGAACTGAAAATTTTCAACTTACATAATATGAAAGTGACTCATGTATTAGTCATTCAAATAAAAACATTTAAATATTCTATTTAATACTTCAAGATAAATGTTTCACCAAACAGCATTTGCATTATAAGAGCAAATTAAAAAGGAAGCATTTTATTATTTTCAAAATGTAAACTACTAGAGCAATTATTTAAAAATAAATGTTTCTCACTTCAGTGCTTGGTTCGAAATCAGGGTGTGTGAAGGGTCCAGATCGCTCGAGGAACTTCTTTACATGGTTCCAGCGACCTTCCCAGTCTCCAGTGTCCCCACACCCACCATCAACAGCCATTCTGCACAGAACACAGTAAATTCAACTGCAAAGATCAGTATGAAAAAGTCACACCTATAACTATTATGGTTTTATGGAATGAAAAGGTAACCACACCAGACCTGCTCAAATAGAATAGGAAATGTTCAATGTGGTTATGTTTAGGCTTTCCAGTTTGTCTTGCTTATTATATTGGTTCATTTAAAACTAAGAACTGGATGTTTATTTCTATTTTTATTTTATCCATTTGATGAAATAGATCAGCCTATTTCTGGGTTCCTAGAGCAACCCAGGCTCAAACTGATCTCTCCATGACAAATGGACTTCTCTGCATTTGGCACTTACAAAAGAATACTGCAAACTTTCAGCCTATGCCTTCAACATTGGATCAGGAGGTATGAGATACCTGGGGGCACTTTCAGAACTGTGTTGTTTCCACTATACTATTGCTTATGTACCTTTCTGAGTCAGAATGGTGTGATTTAAAGATCATTTTTGACAAGAGGAACTTTCAGGCATTTTTCTCAGAAAGAAACAGAGGTTCCAATTTTCAAAAAAACAAAAGAATCACACTGTCAGGTGGTGGTTGTCACTAAACACACACAGAAAAGGATTTCGAGAGGCAGTATCACCTAGAACCTTCCAGGATACTGAATATGGGGCTCCACTAATAAAGGTCTATCAACAACTAAATAATAATGATGATGATGAAAGCATCTCAGTTCTTATGCAGAGCTGGGTTCCGCTGCACAACTAACGCTGTCCCCTTGAGCAGATCCCTTGACAGCCACAGACCTCATCTACAGGCGGTCTAGCTAGCTTTTAGGGGTCGACCACAGAGGCCTTGGCACTTGGCCTGGCACACAGTGCGCTCCCGACCTGCAACTGTCACTCCATGCACAAGCTGCGGGGGCAGCAAGGGTGGGGTGGCTTGTCACTATGGCCACCGAGCCAGGGCCGCGGCCCCTTCCAGGCGCGCGGAGGTCGCGGGGCTGGCCGGCGAGACCCGGCCCGCGGCCCCCGCCCCGCCCGGCCGGCGCGCAGCGCGGGGAGCAGGACCCCGGCCCGCCCCGGCCCCCCCCGGCCCCCCGGCCGCTGCGGCTGTCCCCGCGCCGGGGCGGGAGGCGGGGGTCCCCGGAGAGGCCCCGGCCTCCCGGCAGCACTAACTTCTCAGCCAGCAGCTCCTCTACTCTCCTTCTTTTCTTCTCCCTAAAAGAAAGAGAGAATAAAAGAAGGGTCAGCATCACGCCGCACACTGGCGCCGCGAAGGGATGGGGCGAGGGGACGGGGCGGGGGAGGGGACCCCGGCGGCGGCGGCAACCGCCCACCGCCGCGCTCTCACAGCCAGCCCAGCCCGGCGCGCAGGCCGGCCAACCCTGGTACTTACGGCTCTTCGCCATCCGCCATATTGCTCCCGCCGCTTCCCAGGGCCCCTCGCGGCGAGGAGGAAGGGGCGGGACCCAAGGGAGGGAAGGGGCCAACAGGAAGGAAAGGAGGGCGGGGCGTGGAAGGGGAGGAGCCTATTGGAGGATAGGAAGGGCGGGGACCGAGAGAGGAGCAGGGCCAATGGGGAAATGCTTAAAAGAAAAGGCGGGGCCTACGGAGGAGAAGGACGACTGGGTCTCAGGATGGGGCGTGGTCTACAGGAAGGAAAGGGAGGGCCGTGCTGGAGGAAGAGGCGGAGCCTACGGGGAGAAAAGGAAGGGCGTGGCCAGAGAGGAAGAGAAGGAGAAAAGGGTCTGAGAAAGGGGCGTGGCCTACAGGAAAGGAAAGGAGGATAGGGCGGGAGAAAGGGGCGGGACCTGAGGGAGGGGTGAGGGCGAGGGGGGTCTGGAGCAAGGGCGTGGCTGGTGGCAGGCGAGGCAGGGAGGGCCGCAGGAGGCGGCAAGGTTGTGCCGTCTGCAATGGGACGTGGGACGTTGTGTGTCTATGCGTTACCGTGTTCGTCGGCAGCCGCCCAAGAAGTGGATCCCGACCGCGGAAACGACTGCCCGACCCCGGGATGGGGCGCGTCCGGTCGGCCTCTGTGGGCATGGCAGCCTGCAGAGGCAGGGCTCCTATTTTTGTGAAAATCAATACTTCAGCGTCGCATCATTCGGTCCAGTACCAGAATTCTGGCATAAAGGTGATAAATGTATCTTAGGAAGATATATATAATACGTAGATGAAAAGTGTCAAGCAGAAAACACAAAAATGGAAACGTGATTTAGAACACCCATAATCCCAGTACTTAAGGGTGGGACAAAAATGATATTTAGAGTCAGAAAAAAAAAAAAAAAAAACTGAACTTAAATCCTCAGTTATTAACAAAGAAATCTTGGCACCTCTGTTCCTTTATTTGTGAATTGAGCATGACAACATATGCCTTATAAGACTGAGAACTGAATGAAATTCATATTGGTTCTCGAAATATAGTCTCTGATCAGCACCTCTTGGAAATATGTCACAAATGTAAATTTGCAGCCCTTGCTCCAGCCTCCTGCAAAGCGTGGGATGATTGTACAGATGTAAATTTTGAAAACCACTGGTGTGAGTAAAGCAAAGCCTATTGGTGAAGGTAGCTGTTCCAATGGATGTGATATTTAATCTCCTCTTTGTCCTACTCTCCATCACAATTTAAGGAGGGCTTATCCTTTATGAACCACAATTGGGTTCACCAAGAGCATTTCACTGAGCTGAGATCAGCCCATGCCAGGTGGTGGGTGCAGGAACAGAGCTCATGGTGCATGCCAGGAGACACCAGCCCCCTCTGCATCATGTCTCTCAACCTCTACTCAGAAACCTCTTTTACCTGCCCAGACAATTCCACAGAAGGAAACCACTGAGATTAAACCATTTGTTTGTCAAAATGAGCTCCTGTGGGCTAGGCCTGTAACAAAGCTGGTTTGGGGATGCCCTTTGATTGGTCGCAGTGAGCATCACACACACCCCTGTCCGATGGGCAGGAACCTCAGGAATCCCATATCCTCTCATAATCATTTTACAGAAGAAGAAACAGGCCTAGGGATTGTATGGAGCTGGGCCATGATGATGCAAAGGCACCTGCCCTTCATCTGCCTGCCGTGGACTGACACCCTGACTCACAGCGGAGGCATTTTGATAGAGGACACCAGGCACACACTGGCTCAAGCTGACTGATTAGAACCAGCCATCTGCCCTTGACAGCAACAGAGATAGGAACATACAATAAACTTTTAGACTATCCACTAGGTTTATAGACAGACAGGCTGCTTCTATCTAGAAGCCCATGTCCCCCATAGAAGCCCCAGGAAGACCTCTATGGTAAATCTGTCCACTTCTGCCTCCCCCACCCCTGAAAAAGAGAGAGAAAGAATGGGGAGTACGGGTCACTTCCAAACAGTGATAAACAGACTCAGTATGTGTTCATTTTATTTAAAAGGGTTCTAAGCTGGGCCTAGTGGGCACATGCCTGTAATTGCACAGACTGCAGAAGCTGATCCAGGAGGATGGCAAGTTCAAAGCCAGCCTCAGTAACTTAGTGAGACCTGTCTCATCTCAAAATAAAAAAGGGCTGGGGATGTGGCTCAGTGGTTAAATCCCCTGGGATCAATCCCCAGTGCCAAGAATCGAGGTTAACACTGGTTAACACTGGGAGAGAGGCAGAAGGGAATCTTGCTGCAGACAGTTTTATGGGTCTTCTCTGTTGCTTACTTTTAAACCTCTTCGCAGGTTTAAGCAAATCAGAGAAAACATGCTGAATACCAATGGTTTGCTGGATACCAATGGCCCTGGATCAATTACACTGTGAGTCATGCACACTCCACAGCTTTTGGTCATGCAGTTTTGAGCAGCGAGGGGTGAAAGCTCTTGAAACACTCCCAGGCTCACAGGTCTCTGCTGCAGGTGTGGGGCTGGTAAGATCCGAGAGCCCCAGCCCCGGGGCTGCTGCCCTGGTCTTGGCCAAGATCTCTCCCTCAGCTTGCCCATGCTGCGGCATCTTGGAATCCCTAAGCCCAGGGATCCCTCCCCTCCCTCTGACTTCCTGTAACTGAGCAGGAGGCCTGGAACATCTCTGTTTAGCTCTCCTCCTCACAGTCCCACAGAGAGGAGTATTTCCGCACCTTTCAGGGTCCTTGGAGGCCAAGCAAGGCAGCACCTCTCTCCTGTCTTAACCCCCACTGGGCTTTCACAGAACCTGGAAGACGCAGAAGATGGGTTGACCCTGTATTGCGTAGCTTCCGCCTTTTCTCCCTGTACACCCAGATGCAACCCCAATAAAATGACAATGTGGATGTTTATTAAAACGCACAGGAAACAGAGCAGGTTAAAGCACTATGAATACCACCCAGATAAATCATGGATCCAATGTCATTACCAATGAGTGGCGTCTACCTCTGAGCATCTACTTTACACCAGGCACTTCCCAAACAGCCCCACCTGTGTGACAGAGATGTTCTCGCCCAGTTTACACGTGAAAATCTGAGGCTGGGGGGAGACTGAGTGAAGTCCCCAAGGTTGCCTGTCAGGGACTGAGGATCTGGAATGATCATTTTGCTTCTTCTGACTTAAACTCTCTTATTTTCTCATATCCAAGAAAACGTGAACACTCAGGAACATGATAACATGAACACATTTTATTTTTTTTTTCATATTTATTTTTTTAATTTTCGGCAGACACAACATCTTTGTTTGTATGTGGTGCTGAGGATCGAACCCGGGCCGCACGCATGCCAGGCGAGCGCGCTACCGCTTGAGCCATATCCCCAGCCCATGAACACATTTTAAATGCTATTAAAAAGCAACACCAAGATGTCTCTTAGCACTGATTTGATTCAGTTACCAAAGTCCTGAACATCAGTAGCAGTAGTGATTTCCTACACTCTAAGTTCCTTAGCTGCTTTCAGAAAACAAAGGCAATTATATATATATATATATATATCTTGTAGACTTTGCTTTTTTTTTTGCTTTTCAATTTTTTTGAAAGTTGGCAATCTGAGTAGAGTGGATTTAATGTGTTGAAACAGTCCGACTGTCAGGTTTATAGACTGTTGTATTGGGCACGATCATCTTAGAATTCTGTCTACCACACCATGAAACTAATCAAAATACAGTCCACCCTACCCCCATCGTCCTATCCGTGGATTCAACTAACCACAGATAGAAAACACATTTTAAAATTTTATCTGTTGTGAACATGTATGAACATTTTTAGTGTTATTATCTTCTAAACAATACAGTATAACAACTATTTATGTAATGCATTGCATTAATGTAAAAATATAAAGCCTTTTTATTTTTATTTTTATTTTATTTTGTTCCATTTTGAGTACTGGGTATTGAAACCAGAGGAGCTTTTTACAACTGAGCCATATCACCAGTCCTTTTATTTTATTTATTTTTTGAGACAAGGTCTTACAGGTTGCTTATGGCCTCACTGAGTTGCTGAGGCTGGCCTTGAACTTGTGATCCTCCTGCCTCAGCCTCCCAAGTTGCTGGGATTACAGGTGTGTGCCACCATGCTCAGTTTTATTGTTTTGAGTATTATAAGTGATCTACAAATGATCTAAAGCCTATAGGAGTATGTGTAAATACTATGCTCTTTTAAATACAAAAATTTCAGCAGCTTTCAATTTAAATATGGCCGGGGGGGGGGTGTCCAGAAAATAATTAGATGCTGAGAGATGATTGTACTTTTATTTCATGTACTTGACATAAGAGATCCACTAAGCCCGGCACAGTGGTGCACACTGTAATCCCGGTGATACAGGAGGCTGAGGCAGGAGGATTGCAAGGGTACCCATCCTGGGCAACTTAGCAAGACCCTGTCTCAAAAAATAAAAAGGACTGGGGATGTGGCTTGGTGGCTTGAAGCACACTCCTCCCTGGTTAAAATCTCCAGTAGCAAAAAAGAAAGAAAAGGAAAAATATATTTATTGTAGTATTTGGCCCCTTAACTGAAAAGAGGCTATTAACGTTAGGATGTAAACGACATACTGGGGAGCTGGAGCGAACAGAGTGGCTTATCACTTGGTTAAGATGGCACAGCAGTTCGGTCATTCCGCCGTGGGTGAAGAGAAGGGGGGACAAAGAGAGAAAAAAGCCAACCCAGGGCTCGTGCTGTGCAGGGTTTCCCTCCCGAGTTGCCACTCTGATCTCCTGCGGCGACGCACCGCGGAGCAGAGACAGCTGGGGACCCGCCTGCGGAGGCGCGGGGACGGTGACCCCGAATTCTGAAACCCGCCCTTGCGGGCTGGACCCGGAGCGGGCGGGCGGCGGAGGAGGCCGCGGCCACCCCCTGCGCCCCGCGGCCGGCCCTGCGCCCGGCCGTGCCCGAAGCCCCGCGCGGAGCCAATGGGAGCGCAGGGCCCCGCGCACCGCCCGCCCAGCTCCCCGCCCGCCGCGCGCCAGCCGCAGAGCCCATCGCGCCGACGCGGCTGTCACCTCGGCGTCACTGCGGCCCGGCGCGCGCTGGGCAGGCAGGAGCGGCGGCCGCGAGCATGGACGTGAGCATCGCCCCGCTGCGCGCCTGGG